CCCCATTAAACTATAACACGTGCCTCCTGAGGGCAGGGGCTGAGTCTTGCCAGAGCTCCACTCCCTGACCCAGCACAGGCCACACTCACTAAGCACTCAACACCGAACTGTGTTCCCACTTTGTGCGAGCCACCTAGGAGGCTACAGAACCGCTGTGTCCTGGTCTGAGGGCCCCAGAGCTGAGAACCGGGAGGGTTCCCCGCTCCCTCTGACACTCTCCTCTGCAGCTCCTGTCTGAGCTTTCTCGAGTCCTCAGGTCATGCTATTGGAACGTCTCAGTGGTGGGCCATGGGGGTCCTGGGAGGGCAGGCAAAGAGCTGTTTCAAATGCTGAGGAAACTCCAGCTGGCAGGGAGCTATAGCTGGGATGGGGGCCAGGGGAACCCTTTTCCACCTGTGCCTGATCCCCAAGTCCATTGTTGTCATTCGAGACAATCACTGGTTCCTCTGACTGGGAGGGGCACCCCATGGACCCGTTTTTCTCCCCGAGTTCCACACCTTAGGCACATACGTGCTGGCATTGCCAGGACATGTCGATGACATCAGCCTGAGGATGGTGGTTTCACACCTGTCTCTCCAGGGCCCCAACTGGCCTCTCCCCAGCCTGAGAATATCTCAAGGTCTCCAAGGCTGTGTGTCTAAGATAGCAAGGCTCATGTGACTAACTGCTCCCTGGAAAAACAACGTGTCTGGCTGGATTTGTGACATAGACATATCATTTGACAAGGGTGGGAAGGGTCCTTGAAAATCAAAGAGTCCAATTTCCTCAATTTTATAGATTTTATAGATGAGGAAACAGGCCTCATCTATGGGAAGGGACTTGTTCAGGACCACTCAGGCCTAGGACAGTCTCCTGATCGGAGACCGCAGATGGAGTGGGCATGCAGTACAGGTCACGGTCTGCACCACCTTCACCCAGCGCCCGGCAATGTGGAGCCCTTGACTTGCCCCAGCATCTCCATTTTACAGGTGAGAGATTGGCCCAAAGTCATAAAGCAAGCGGGTGCCCTAATTTATTATTTTTTTTAGAATTATTTTATTTGACTTTATTTATTTTAATTTGACCAGACTTGGTGGGGGAGGGGAGAGAGAAGCAAGAGAGAGAGCGAGAGAAAGAGAGAGAGGGTGAGAAAGCAAGCCACCAGGTCCGGGACTCAAACTGTGTTTGACCATGTGGGAGTCCAGCTCCCTTAACCACCATGCCACTGGCAGGCCCCCGATTTGCTTTTTAAAATCTTCAACACACCCTGTTGCAAGTCAATGGTCGGGGTCACTCGGGATAGTGGCGGGACTGGTTCGTACCTCTGCCACCTCATGGATGCGAAAGCTCACAGGCAAGGCGCGAGCCCGGAGAGTAGAGGCTTGCGCGAGCCCGCGGAAGGCAGGAGCGCGCGGGCTCGCAAAAGGCGCATGCGCGTCGGTCCCAGACTCTGATTGGCTCCTGAGGGCCGGGAAGGCGGGGCCCTGTGCCCCGAGCTACCTCCCGCTGTAGCTTCCGCGTCAGGGTCCCGGCGGCCGGAACCCCAACTGGAGCTGGGGTTCCCACTGTGGCAAGTTTCCTGGCGGGGTCTGAACACGAGCTGGAGCTGGGAGCTAGAGTCAGGGCAGGAGCCTGGCCTGAGGCCGCAGGCTTTGCGTCCCTGAGAGGTGAGACCCGACGACGCCCTACCCGGGCGTCCGGCTGGAAGGGAGTGCGCCCTGCCCTGTGTGCGCATCCGGCGACTGAGAGCTTGGACCTCCACTCCTGAACTGCTTGGCCGCGACCCTCCCGCCCGCCCGACCTCGAGTCGGCCGAGCGACACACCTCTCTCCAGTCTGCACACTTGGTCTTTCCAGCCAGTGTCGGTCAGCCTCGTCTGCGCATCCTGGAACGCCTTCCTTTCTTCCTTGAGAGCTCGAGCAGACCCTCAACCCCATCCCTGGGCCTCCAGTAACTGCTGTTTCTCTTTACCTTTGCAGATGGATGGGACTGAAGGCCATGCCGGGCAGCCTGGCCCTGGTGAGCGGTCTCACCGAAGCAGCGTGTCCTCCGTGGGAGCCCGAGGTGGGTCCCTGTTCCCACCTCCCCTCCATACCATCTTAGGACCCCAGTCTGGGAAATAGCTCTGGCCAATCATGGGTGTTCATTAAGAAGTAAGGTACACTGGGACCAGCAGTTAGGGTAATGGCTATGTCGCTGGACTCCCATGTAGTCGACCGCGATTTGAGTCCCAGACCCGGTGGCTTAAACTCACACCGGGTGCGTTTGCGTGCGTGCCTAAGATCCCTAGAGGAGAATGGAGGAGAAGGGATTGCGGCGTGACCATCCCCCCTGGGGGGTGATTTCTTGCTTTCTATCTCTCTATCTCTCTCTGTCTGGCGAGCGCACAGCGCCCTGTAGCAAAAACCTCTCCAAAAAAAAAAACAAAAACAAAAAAAAAAGAAGTAAGGTACACTGAGGTGTGGAAAGCTCGCAGATGTCACCTGGTGAGCTCTCACTAGCTCAGTAGCCAAGTGGGGTGCTCTTGAATCCCACTCTTATCTATAGATTGAGATGTCTCACATCGCTGTAAAATTCAGATAGAATCACGTGAATAGAATCTGTAAAATTCAGATAGAATCATGTTCCATTTCTTTTTTCACAAAGTCTTTTGAGAGCAGGGATCATTATCCTTATTTTATAGGGAGAAAATTGGGCCCTAGAGAGGTTGTAGGCTCTGGAGTGCTCTGGTTGATCACATAATTGAGCCTTCAGTACCTCCGTTTTTCCTGACTGAAAAGTGAATTTGAATCTCAGCTTCCTGGAGATTTTATTGTTTCTCAAAGTAGCTGTTGGAGCAGAGCAGATTCGGCATCCAGAAAGCATCCTCCCTGGCGTCAGGGATAAACAGTGCCCTTCCCTTCACAGACTTCGCCTCATTTGATTCACAGCCACCCTTTTTTTTTTTTTTTAAAGAATTATTTTACTTGTTTTAATTTGACCAGAGAGGAACAGAGCAAGAGAGAGAGAGAGAGGGAAAGTAAGAAAGCAAGCTGCCAGGTCTAGGACTTAAACTGTGGTCATTTGGGACCAGCAGTTGGCGAAATAGCTATATCAGTGGACTCCCATGTAGTCGACCAGTGTTCAAATCCTGGACCTGGTGGCTTAAACTCATGCCGGGTGTGTGTGCGTGCGTGCCCAAGATCCTGAGAGGAAAATGGAGGAGAAGGATTTGTGGTGTGGCTATCGCCCCTAGGGGATGATTTCTCGCTTTCTGTCTCTGTCTTTCTGGTGAGCGCACACGCCCTATAGCAAAAAACACTCTCAAAAAATACACACACACACAAAGGAAAAAACCACGGTCAGCCACGTGGGAGTCCAGCGCATCTTTAACCACCACGCCACAAACCGGCCCCAGCAGCTGCTCTTAGAGAGAGGAGTATTAGCTCTGCCTTTACAGACCAGACAGCTGACACTGGAATTGACTTGCTGAAGCCAACCAGCTAGCCAGAACCAGGCAAGCAGTGGAACCCAGGTGTGTGGGCCTGCAAGCTCAGTGTGTTTACTGTGCTTGTCATTCCTGGGGGGAGGGGAGAGAGAAGGTGAGAAAGCAAGAAAGAGAGCGAGAGAGAGAGAGAAAGGGTTTGAGGGTAGATGGGATTTGAATCTGGCTGCCCTTCCAGGGGTCTTTGGCTCTAGGCTTCATATGCAATCCTACAAATTGTCACAAGAGAATACTCAGTTATTTGGGTTGTGTTTCCCTTAGCCTGCTTAAGGCTGTCAGCTCCTCAGGCTTGAGTCTTAACAAACCTGAGACCTGGAACTTGCTTTAACCAGTGACCTTAGGAATCCTCTGTTCCATCTGGGCCTGGGCCAGAGAGGGGCAGAGACTTGTCTGAGGATAACAGTGGGTTACCAGCTCTCCCCTCTCCCAGGCTGCTAAATTAACTGCTGTAACCCAGGATGGGTTCATTCTATCTCTGCCTTAGTTCCTCACCTGTGGAATGTTCTTGTTCAGGGCAGAAGCACATCAGAGCCCTTCAAACTACCAAAGGTTTTAGGGGGGTGGTTCAGTAGCCAGCCCTAATTTGAACCTCAGAGAATTAGAAGGGCCTGGTCCCTGGATGGACCAATGTTTCTGGGTGGTTTGAGGGTGTCAAGGAAGGCAAAATAGCACTCTTTTTTTTGGAGAGGGTTTTGCTATAGGGCATGTGTGCTCACCAGAAAGACACTCCACAGTGGGGATGGCCACGCCACAATCCCTTCTCCTCCATTCTCTGGGGATCTCGGGCAAGCACGCACACGTGCTCGGCATGAGTTTAAGTCACCAGGTCCGGGACTTGAACTGCAGTCGACTACATGGGAGTCCATCAACATAGCCATTATGCCAACTGCTGGTCCCGCATGATAGCACTCCTAAACAGGTCTTTCTTTGGGGATGCTGGTGCCCCTGGAGTGGACTCTGCCGTCATCACCCAAGGCCCATAGATAGGGGCTCTAGCTGCAGTAGATGTGGAGGGTACCGGTCAACCTGACCAGTGGGCCTCGCTGATCCTGCCCTGCTTCTGTCACAGCGGCCGATGTGCTGGTGTATCTGGCGGACGACTCCGTGGTGCCCCTGGCTGTGGAGAACCTGCCCTCCCTCAGTGCCCATGAGCTGCATCGTGCAGTCCGTGAGGTCCTGCAGCTCCCAGATGTCGCCCTGGATGCCTTCGCACTCTGGCTTGTCTCCCCTCTGCTGGGTAAGGCTTGGTAGTGAGGAGCCCAGGTGGGGAGCCTGGGAGGGCACTGAGCAAAGAAAAGGGGTGACTTCCAGAACCTCTGGCCTCCACGTATCAGGAGAAGGTAGGACTTGGGTGTATGTTAGAACTCTCTTCCCATGTGAGGATCCAGAGCCCTGAGAAGACCCCTGGCTTCTCTGCCCCTGCCGCCCACCTTTCTTTCTGCTAGTGGCAAAGGAGGAGCTGACCCTGCCCCTCGCCTCAGTGGTACAGGGAATCTGGGGCATGAGGAGGAACAGGGCTGTGGGAGAGAGGGGTGGGATCTATGGCCGCTGAGCACAGGATCTGTGCCATGACGTGGGCCTGCATTTCGCAGTAAGATTTCACCTTGTCCTTGTGGCCCGGGCCTGTCTGGCACGTGAGGAAATTGAGGTTTAGAGTGCTGAGGCCAGTGAGTAGTGGGGCCAAGATAGACCCCAAGCCTGTGGTAGGAGGCCTCACAGGAGGTCTCTGAACTGGGTCTGCAACTTGGGGGTGGGAAGGAGGAAGCAGCCACCTCTGACTACGAGGCCTTTGTGAGGGTGGAGTAGAGACAGGCCTTCTTTCCAAGCCCTCCTGGTTTCTGGCCTTGTGACCACCCACGTCCTGCCCTTTCAGGCTGCAGAGGGAGTGGGGGTAGCACCTCTCCAGCCCCTCTGGGTTGGGGGATCAGGTGAATCGGGTGTCAGAGCCTGCTGACCTGGACGGGAAGGGGGCAAGGGAGAGTACCCAGGTTATCATTTGGGGAGGTGAATCAGGGCCAGGGCCTGGGCCATCTTCTGAGTTTAAGTCGCCCCATATTGCAGAGGAACAGGGACAGGAAGGAGTCGACTGGTTCTGTTGAGAAAACAAGCAGGACAGTCTGTGACTGGTCCAAGGGGCCCCTGGTGGTCCGCCTCTTCTCCTGAGGCCACTGGGGTTTGTGCCTCCACCCCGCCCCCACATGCGTCCTTCCTCCGCTATTCAGGGCCTCCTTCTCAGCTGTTGTTCCGAGGCTCTCGCCCACCTTCTTCCTGCTGGCCCTCCTGCTGACCTATCTCCTCTGGCCAGCCCACACCCGGCCAGCTGCCCCTCCTTCACCCTCTGAGCTTTTAGTCGGGATTGTGGGCCCCTGGTGTCTTTGAAGAGCTGGGGGTGGTGATTCTAGGGAAGTCAGCCCCTGCCCTGCCTTGCGTGGCGTTCCAGTGCCAGCCCTAGGCAGCTTTCAGCTTGCTGCCTCCTACTTCTGCCCCAACTCCCTCCTCATCACATTCTTGCTCTCCCATAACAAGGACTTGAATGGGCTGCCTGTGTGGCGGGAGGCCCCAGCACAAAGTCAACACCCACTTTGTTCCCAGGCTGTGTTTGGAGAAGCTGAAAGGCTCCTTTGGCTTTGACAAGGGCCTCCCAGAAATCTCGGCCTTCTCTCAGCCTGAGACTGGGGGAAGGAGTAACAGACGCCCTAGGGCTCGGATGCCCTAAAAGGCAGGGAGGTGCTGTTTGCGAGCCGTGCCCCTTCCTGCTGGAGCTTTTGGCAGGGTTGGCCTCCTCAATGCCGTTGTCATTCTACAGGGAACAGGGCTCCAGGTCAGGAGGGCCTCATGTGGGGACTGGCCCCATGGCCTGGTGGGTAATAAAGCAGGATCCCATGTGGCTGACCATGTGGTTCGAATCCCAGACCCAACATCTTGAAAAACACACTGGGTTTGTCTTTGTGTGTCCTCAAGTGCCGAACAATGTGGAGAAATGGAAGAGAAGGGATTGTGGTGTGACCACGCACTGCTGGGGGGGGTGGGGCACTTTCTCCTTCTCTCTGTTTCTGTCCTGTGTCTCTCATGTGCCTGGGGCACTTTCTCCTTCTCTGTTTCTGTCCTGTGTCTCTCATGTGCCTCTAGCAAAAAAATTATTTTGAAAGAGAGGCCCCATCTAGATGTCTGCAGGACAGCAGGCTCACTGTAGTCCTGTTCTGACCACAGGAGTCCTGTGAGCTACTGGGTCTTGGAGCCTAGGCTGGTGAAGGCCAAGCTGTGAGCAGGAGAAGACCTCATGCCAGGTCTCCCCTTCCCCACAGTGTGTTTAGTGGGGCCCTGCTAAGCAGCTGCCACCTTTGTTTCATGAGAATACGTAAAGCTCCCCTCTTGTCAGGCAGTGCCCTAGATGCTGGGGACACAGGGAACGAGCTTGCTGGTGTCAGGGAATTCACAGGGGGAGCTTCAGAGTCTCAAGTGTGATGAGGGGAGGTTTGTGAAGCATAGCTGGATTCCTGGCTTACTCCTTAACACTATGTGACCCCAGCAGTCACCATGCCTCTGTGAGCTTCAGTTACCCACCTGCAAAGTGGCGGTCTCCACGCCCTCCCAGCCCTGACCTCCTCTGAGTCTCTAGACAGAACATGACAAAGGACCAAGTAGGGAGGATTGAACAGGGAGCCTCCCTGGGGGGGCGAAAGGCACTTTCCCCTACTATGGGGTTGGGACAAGATATGGGGGTGGGGGCAAGGATCTGGGTTAGAAATGAAGGCTGTGGAGCCTCTGGAAAAATCTGGATCTGAAATGATAGCACAGGGGCCAGCAAATGGTGTTACGGTTACATCGCTGGACTCCCACATGGACAACTGCAGTTCGAGTCCTGGACCTGGAGGCTCGAAACTCACATGAGGCACATGTGTGTGCGTGCCCAAATCCCGAGAGGAGAATGGAGGATTTCTTCCTTTCTGTCTCTCTGGCAAGCGCACATGCCTTATAGCAAAAATTTCTTTAAAATAAAAAAGAAGAAATGATAGCATCAAAAAAAGCTGAAGAAGTTAGATGTGGAGGCTGGATGGAAGAGGCTATGCACAAGGAGGCCCATTTTGAGGCTGTGGCTACATTTTTTGGGTTAAGATCAGGATCTAGGGCCAGCTCCATAGCATGGTAGTTAATGCAGCCAGATCCCACAAACCACATGGCCATTGTTGTTGTTATTTTGTTTTGTTTGGAGAAGTTTTTGCTATAACAGCATGTTTTTTTTTTCTTGTTGTTGTCATTTTGTTTTGTTTGGAGAAGTTTTTGCTATAGGGTGCCGTGCACTCGCCGGAGAGACAGAGAGAGACAGAAAGTGAGAAAACCTCCCTCGGGGGGATGGCCACGTTGCAATCCCTTCTCCTCCATTCTCTTCTCGGGATCTTGGGCACGCACGTGCATGCACCTGGTGTGGGTTTAAGCCACCAGGCCCGGGACTCGAACCACAGTCGACTACATGGGAGTTCAGCAGCATAGCCATTACGTCATCTGCTAGCCCCCTTACAGCATGGTTTTTTTTGGTTGTTGTTTTTTTAGAGAATTTTACTATAGGGGGTGTGTGTTCACTGGAGAGACAGAGAGAGAGAAAGCGAGAAATCACCCTACCTCCTCAGGGGGGTTGGCCATGCTGCAATCTCTTCTCTGTTCTCCTAGGATTTTGAGCACTCATGTACACGTGCCCAGCATGAGTTTCAAGCAGCCAGGTATGGGACTCAAACCGCAGTCAGCCATATGGGAGTTCAGTGCCCTAATCACTATGCCACCTGCTCCCCCCCATCTTTTTTTTTTTTTTTTTTTTGGTAGGTTTTTGCCATAATGCACATGCGCTCGCTGTAGAGAGACAGAGTGAGGGAAAGTGAGAAATCACCCCTGGGGGAATGGCCATACCATAGCTTCTTCTCTTCCGTACTCCTCCTGGGGTTCTGGGCACGCATGCACACATGCCCAGCATGAGTTTCAAGCTCAGGTCTGGAACTCAAACCTCAATTGGCCGTGTGGGAGTCCAGCACATTAACCACTATGTCACTTGCCGGACCCCAATGGCACAGTTTGAGTCCCAGACCCAGCAGCTTGAGAAACACACTGGGCATGCTTGCATACCCCAAATCCCAACAGGTGGGAGATAGGGAAGAGAAGGACTGCGGTGTGGCCCTTCCTCATTGGGAATGCTTTCCCCTCTCCCTTTCTCTCTGTCTCTGTTTCTCACTGGCATGTACACATGCCCTCTAGCAAAGAAAAAAGAAAAAATCAGGGTCCAGATAGAAGAAGAGATGGGCCAGCAGGTGGCATCGTGGTTAAGGTGCTGGGTCCCACATTGCCAACTCCATGGTTTGAGTCCCAGACCCGGTGACTTGTTAAACATGTCAGGTGCATGTTCATACATGCCCAAAATCCTTAGAGGAGAATGGAGAAGGAATTCCTTCAAGGGAATTGTGTGGCCATCCTCCAAGGGAGTGATTTTTTACTTTCTCTCTACCTCTCTCTCCCCCCACCTCTCTCTCTCTTTCAGTTTTTTGTTTGTTTGTTTGTTTTGGGGAGAGATTTTTGCTATAGGGCACATGCGCTTGCCAGAAAGACAGAGACGGAGAGACAGAAAGCGAGAAATCACCCCCAGGGTGTATGGCCACGCCGCAATCCCTTCTCCTCCATTCTCTCAGGATCTTGGGCACACACGCCTGGCATGAGTTTAAGTCACCGGGTACGGGACTCAGACCGGGGGTGACTACATGGGAGTCCAGCGACGTAGTCATTACTCCAACTGCTGGTCCCTCTTTCAGTTTTTCTCTTGCAAGTCCATGTGCTCTATGACAAAAAACCTTAAAAGAAAAAAAAAAGAATAGAAATGAAGATCCTTGGCATCAGACTGGTAGGACACAGCACCCAGCCCTCTGTGGGGAGGGGTCAAGATTGGAAGAGAGCCGAGGAGACCAGGCATGTTGGCCTCCCTACCGCCTCCTGGCGGACATTCCTGTTCATCTCTGGATGAGCGTGTCAGTGCTCGGCGTTCTATACTGTACTCCAACACCTTCCATCAGCCACAGCCTCTCAGCTCCGGCCTGCTCTGTCAGTGGCTGGCTCTACCTGGAGCCAGATCCCCTCTTACTTGGTTGGTGGCTTTTTTTTTTTTTTTAATTTTAAGTGTTTTTCCGCCGTGAACAAGAGAGAGCGTGCATGTTCACATATACACACACTCCCAACAGTGACCCCCACCCCAGTGGGATGGCCGCATCACAACACAGCCAATGCTCTGGGCACCACGATTCACCCCACCTTCAACCAGCCCTACATCTTTTTATTATTTTTTATAATTTTTATAAGTTTATTTATTTTTATTTATCTTTTTACAGAGATTTTTACTATAGGGTGCATGTGCTCACTGGAGAGACAGAGACAGAAAATGAGAGATCACCCCTCAGGAGGGATGGTCATGCCACAAAACTTTTTCCCCCATTCTCCTCCCCGGCATGAGTTTTAAGTCACTGGGTCCAGGACTTGAACCACAGTTGACTACATGGGAGTCCAGTGGTGGAACGATTATGCCATCTGGTGGTCCCTGAATAAGTTTTGTTTTTCTGTTAATATAATTTTTTATTATTTTTTTCCTTTTTCTTTTTTTGGGGGGAGAGGTTTTTGTTATAGGGAGCACGCAATCACCAGAAAGACAGAGAGAAACAGACAGAAAGTGAGAAATCACCCCCTGGGGGGATGGCCACGCCACAATCCCTTCTCCTCCATTCTCCTCTTGGGATCTTGGACAGGCATGCACACATGCCTGGCATGAGTTTAAGCCACCAGTTCCAGACTCGAACCACGGTCGACTATGCAGGAATCCAGCAACATAGCCATTATGCCAATTGCTGGTCCTTTATTATTTTAAAAATTTGCTATGAGGCATATGCACTCACTAGAGTGAGGTAGACAGTGAGAAAGCAAGCCACCAGGTCTGGGACTGGAACTGCTGTCAGCCATGTGGGAGTCTAGTGCCTTAGCCACCACCCCACCGCTGGCCCCCCGCCCCAGATGTTTGCACTTGCTGTCCTCCTGCCTTGGACCTAGATCTTGGGCACACATGTCCTGGCATACTCAGGGAAGTCTCTGGATGCAAGCACAGAACCTTCTTGTGGGCCACCCTTGCACAGCATCGAGTTTTACCACTGCTTCACCATCCATCCTCCTGCTGTGTGATCTTGGACAAGTTACTTAACTTCTCTGAGCTTTATTTTCTCTATGAGTGAAATGGGGAATGGGTCATTGCAGGGTAAATGCTTATAAGCCACTTAGAATGATTTGGACACTTAGTACCTGCTCAGCTACTGTTGGCAGTGGCTCATTGGTGGTGGTGGTCATTAAGGCCAGTGTGATGGGGCAGGCAGCCAGCCAGCTGGCCACTGGACTGGTCAGAACCCACATGGCCACTTCCCCTCTCGTCCTGCAGAGGTGCAGCTGAAGCCCACGCACCAGCCCTACAAGCTGGGCCGCCAGTGGCTGGAGCTGCTGCTGCGCTTCACCAACGCCCCGGATGATGACGTGGCCACGGGTCAGTGTTGCCTACCTGCCCGCCCTGCCTTGCAGCCCTGTTGGCAGGTGGAGCTGCCCTCCTGACTGAGGGCCAGAGCCTGAGTCTCTCCCTCTCTCTGCCAGCCACTCCTGGTGGGAGAGGGGTGGGCTGGGAGGGACAGCCAACACACTGAGGTGAGCTGCATGTCCTGCTCTTTGTACAACCCTTGGGTTTCCTTGGTCATGTGAGTGAGCTTGACAGTTGGGCCTGGGCCTGAGAGGGTAGGGCTGGGCTGAGGGGGTGACCAGGCAGTGACCCCGGCCTCTCTCTTCAGATGAGCCTTCTCTGCAGTTCCGGAGGAACGTGTTCTTCCCCAAACGGAGGGAGCTCCAGGTGAGGCGGCGAGCCCGGGCAGCACCAGCCACGTCTGGTACCCCCTGCCCAGCCCCCTGCCCCATGCCCCTGGATGGTCACACCCTGCTCAGTCCAGCTGAGCTGTGGCTCCCTGCCACACCACCCACAGATCCACGACGAGGAGGTCCTGCGGCTGCTCTACGAGGAGGCCAAGGGGAACGTGCTGGCTGCCCGGTACCCCTGCGACGTGGAAGACTGTGAGGCACTGGGCGGCCTGGTATGTCGTGTGCAGCTTGGGCCCTACCAGCCTGGCCGGCCTGAAGTCTGCACCCTGAGGTAAGGGGCACCAGGAGGGGAGGTGACCCCCCAGATACTGCTTAAAAGTAGTCTTAGGTCGTGCAACATGGGGGCTGGTCCTGAAGCCGGGAGGCCTCAGTCCCACACATGCACACTGTGACCCTGGGCAAGTCACTTCACCTCTCTGAGTCTTGTTCTCATCTGCTGTGAGCAGTGGGAGATTTGGGTGAAGATGTCTATGAGAGGAGGCCACGCCCTAAGGAACCCTAGGTATGCATGAGGGTGGAGCTCGGCCTCTGGCTAAGTTAAGAGGGGACCAGGCTTGCTCTTTCAGTCACAGTCAGGAGCCAGCCGCATACAGACCTCCCTCCCAGTCACCACTAAAGCTCAGCGCAGTTCCACATCCCAGGGATGGGGTGCGTCCCTGACACTAAGCGTGGCTCTACCTCCCACGCCTCTCGGGCAACAGGGCCTCGGGTGGTGAGGGTTGAGTCTTACCCAGCAGCAGACCAGTCAGTGACCTCCATCAAGGATGACCCTGAGGTTCAGAAATCCTTGTAGTGAAGACGTACTTGAAGGGCAGGCTTTTCCTAGCTGGGGCTCCCCCTCACCCTGACCATGTCGGAGGAGAGAGATATACAGAGACAGCACCCTGGGCTGGGAGACTGACAGCTGGATCCCGGCAGGGCCCACCCTGGGTTCAGAACCAGCTTGAAGCTGGTGGCCATGGGTCCTGGCCCTCGCGATGAGCACATCTGTTCTCTTACTAGTGGCGACAAACCCAGCTTAGACCATGTAAATGCAGGAGGCTTTGTTGGCTCTTACAACAGACAGGTCCACAATGGCTGAGGTTTGGTCCCAGCTCAGTACAGGGACTCTGGAAGAGTCCTCAGACTCACTCTGATACTCATTCCTTGGTCTCAGGTCCACCCAAAGAGCACACTGTGGCCAGGCCACTAATCGGCTGCTGCCCTAAATGTCCCTTCTGGCCCACCATGAGTCTTGCACAGACTTTGTGGACTGAAAGTGGGGATTTACGTGATGAGAGGGAGCTACTGCTGGGAGAAGGGTTGTAGAACAGATGACAGAACTGCCCATGATGGCCCTGAGAAGGGTGGGCAACCCCCTAGAGACCCTGCTTCGTGTCCCTGCGGTTGGACCTTTCCAGCCGGCACAAGTTCTTTCCCCGACCAGCTGCCCGCTCCCTGTATGGGGGGTGTTTGGTGTTACGAAGCCTCACAGTGAGATGTGTAACTGTAGGCATGCTGGCACAGGCTAGCCCCCTCCTGAGCAAGCAGGGGTCCGTGGCCTTGTTTTTCACACAAGGAAGCGAATCGCTGGCTGCCTGAGGTGGGAGACCGGGGTGCCAGGGCTGAGATTCTTTCCTACCTTGGATGCGTGTGTGAGGAGGAGGACCCTCGGCTAGCTATAGGTTGGGGGTTTGACACCTTTATCTGGTAGGACAAGAGAGCATTAGGCCACCCCCCACCAGTTTTACCCAAAAAGTTGTTAAAACAAACCCACCAACTGAAAGTTCTGGTTCCAAAATCCCACCCGCCCTGAGTTGTGCCAAGATGTTGCTCTGAAACTTTGGCTCTGGCTGCAGGGACCGCTCTCAGCTCTGTCTTGGCCAACCCTCAGGCCTCACCTCTGCCCCAAGGCTGCAGACCTGGCTCCCATCTTGGGCCTCACCTGGCCATCCTGAGCATCAGCGTGCCCTTGCAGGATGGGGTAGTACCTGGCATGCTGGGGTGTTCCCTTTCTTTTTGTGAGTGAAGACTGGGCCTGGTGACACCCTTTCTGTCCCATCTGCTGCCTCACAGGTGTTCTGTGAGTTTCCTGCTAGATCCATGGCAGCTGACCAAGAGGAGGCTGGAAGGGCTAGGAGGCAGGGCCAAGAGTGTGGGGGTCCCTTGTCACAGGTCAGGGATGCCACCAGCTGAAGCAGGACAGGTGGGAAATATAGGAAGGTAGGGCCAGGTCCTGGTGTCCAGAATAAGAGTGACTTTACGTGGTTTCCTAGGACTAGGCAGGCAGAGCATCGACCCTGAACTGGTTCTCATCCCAACCCAGGCCTGCACCGGAAGTGCCTTGTGTTTTAGGATTGAGATGGCTGTCACCCATTGCAGGTGGAGGCATTACCACCCACACTCTGCAGATGAAGCAGGCACAGAGAGGGACGGCACTCCTGGCTTGCCGTGACAGAGGCAGGCTGACCCTAGAGCCTGCTCTTCGGAGCAACGTGGAGATCTGAGCCACCTCTGTCTGGTGTCTCCCCTCACAGGCCCCTTACAGTAGCTCGTGTGGCCCCTTCTCTGGGCAGCCTGCTGCCTTCTGCTGCCCGTCTTACGTGGGGGGCTGTCCATCCCTAGCCTCACCTGGCGAGGTTGGCCCTATGCACCAGGCTGACTAGCCCGCAGGATGGAAGCAGTGGGGATCTCAGTGGTGGTCACTGTCCAGTCAGAAGAAGGCCCTGGTGGTTCCCCGAGCCTGGCCACCTTCCCCGTGTGCCTCCCGTGCCCCCTCTACCCTGGGGTCTTTAGCACCCATCTTCCTTCCTCTACAGGGAGAAGCTGGACTCCTTCCTCCCTGCCCACCTTTGTAAGAGGGGCCATGGTCTCCTTTCCTCCCTCCGGAGCCGTGGGGCCAAGGCTGGGACAGCTGAGCAGGGGCTGCTCAACGCCTACCGCCAGGTGAAGGATGTGGCCGACAGTGAGCGCGAGGCCGCCCTGGCTACACACTACCGCTCCTACCTCCTCAAGTGCCATGAGCTGCCCTTCTACGGGTGAGCAGCCATGCCCCGTGGCCCCTGTCACTGCCCTCAGCAGCCCAGCTCCGGCTTCGCTGGTGCAGCAACCAGTGAGCCCACCTGTGCCCCAGCTGTGCTCTATCCTTCCTCAGCAGTGGTAGCTGGACACCTGTCCTCCCCTTCTTCCTGTCACAGGCGAGGCCACCTCCTGCCTGCCTCAGTCACTTGGTCACTGGCCTGGCTGACCTTCCCTTCTACCAGCTCCCTTCCTCACGCAGTCCACGTCTAACCAGCAGCTTGTGCAGCAGGCGTGCTGGGCACTCTTCAGGCACTGAGGGACCTCGTGGAGAAGATGACCCCGTGACCCCTGCCTGGCAAAGCTGATGTTCTAGTGGGAAGAGAGAGAAAAGTATAGAGCTAGAGATAGGATAGACTACAGGAAGGTTCAGGTGGCAGCCAGACCAAGGGAGGTGTGACAGTGCTCCAAAGAAGGTTGCTGTATTGGGCCAGCCTGCAGCCTGGTGGTTAACGTGGCTGGATCCTACAGGGTCACCCACATGGCTCAAGTTCCAGACAAGTGGCTTGAAGAACATGTTTGGTGCAAGTGTCTGCATGCCCCAAATCCTGAGGAGGGAGAAATGGAGGAGAAGGATTGCAGTGTGATCATTCCCCATGAGATTCTGTCTCACTTTCTCCTTCCCTCTCTCTTTCTTCAGCTAGTGTATATACCCTTTGGCAAATTTAACAAAAGAAAGAAGCAGGTGTGGGGCTGTCTCAATGCTTAGAACAGTGAGAGGTAGTCAGATTCAAGGGGCATTCTACGGACAGAGTCAACAGAGTTTGCCAGGTAGATGTGCCATAGAAGAGGCGAAGGAGAGGAGGCAGAGGGAACTCTTGAGATTTAGGCCCGAGCAACTGACAGATGGAGTTAGCCACTGAGATGGAGATGGGGAAGATTGGAACATGGTTTTGGGTGTGTTCACTTTTTAAAAATATCCATTTATTTAATTTGCTATTGTTATTATTTCTAAATTTGACCAGAGAGAGACAGAGAAAGGAAAGCGAGAAAGCCAGCCATCAGTTCCAGGACTCGAACCATGGTTGGCGCCATTAACTACCATGCTGGCCCCCTGGATGTGTTGATTTTGCGACACTTGTTAGCTACCCAGCTGGTGATTGCAGGTGGGCATTTAGGTTTTGGGTCTAGAACTGGAGGGATAGTCTGAGCTGGAGATAGTAGTTGGAGAATCCTCAATAGGTGGATGGTGTTTGGAGCCAGAAGCCCTGAGAGGTGGCCTGGGAGCGGAGTGTAGGCCAGGCTAGGAGGGGACTCAGGTGGAGCCACAAGGGAGAGGGTTTCCATAAGTCAAGATCATGGGCACAGCTTTGGGTCACATTCAGCTTGTGCTCACCTGGCTGAGACCAACCTCCAGCCTGGCAGAGGGGGGAGTGGGTGGCGGGAAGGGAGGAGAGGGATGGGAGACAGCGAGTATAACCAGCTTCCAAGAAGCTTCACTATAAATTGGAGTCAAGAAAGGGAGCAGTTCGTTGTGGGTACAGTGGAGTCAGAGGGCTTTTTATATCAGGCGAAGTGACAGCATGTGTGTGCTGACGGGGGTGATCCAGTAGAGTGAAGAGTGGATGGGGTTGGTGGTGCCTGGCCACTCCTCCGGCTGCTTCAGTGTGCAAGGGTGGTATAGGTGTCTTCTAGAACAGGGAGCCAAAGTGCGACTGCCCTTGGGAGCTCAAGGTAGCAAGTCTGCACGGGCAGTGGGATTGATCGCCAGCTCTGGCTTAGCGGAAGGATGAGGGAGGAAAGCAAGGACGAACGTGGGAGAGGTTGTGGCCAAGTAGGACAGGTAGGAGCTCGGGCTGGAGCCCCATGACCACTGCATGCTTTCTCAGTTCCCAGCCCTAAAGCCACTCCGCTAGGCTGCCTTCGCCTCTGTGCTTCCCAGCAAGTTTCAGCTTTGTCCTGGACAGTGGGCTGCTGGCTTTCCTGGTCCTGAGGTGGCCTGACCACTCCAGCAGCCTCAACCCCAGGCCCCCAGCCTGAGAACCCCTGTGAGCCCCACACCTGAGCACACATGCCCCTCTGCAGGCAGTTCCTGCCCTTCTCTGCCAACCCGTGTGTTCTCCTGCCTGTCTGAGCCTCCTACCCTCTGTGACTAACTCAGGTGCCACTCCCTCTAGGAAACCTCCTCAGTGCCCCTGCCCCTGCAGGTTTCTGTTCAGTCTTCAGTCATCATAAGAGCTTAAACTTTTCAGGGGCCTGGAACAGGTCCAGAGCAGACCTCCTTAAGCATTCACAGGCTTGGAGACAGGCTGACACCAGTCCCCTTCCCAGGTGTGCCTTCTTCCACGGCGAGATCGACAAGCCGGCCCAAGGCTTTTTGCACCGGGGCGGGCGCAAGCCAGTGGTCGTGGCCATCAGCCTGGAGGGCGTGCATGTCATCGACAGTAGGGAGAAGGTATTGCCTTCAGCTACTCAGGATGGTGCCTGGAGATACCTCTGTGGAGGAGAAGGGGGTAGGGATCCTCGCCCAGACCTTTTGGTTCCCCTGGCCCGTGGGTAGCCTGGGGCAGGGTATGCCGGTCTCACATAATAGGCCTTCTCCCCCTCTCCTGTGTCTTCCTCCACGTGACTCCCAGCTGTCAGGGCCTGACCTGCTGGTAATGAGTGTCATGGTAGGCTTCTCAGCTCCCCCTCCATGGGGCGCCAGTGAAAGCTGGGGCTCCTGGGACCGGCAGATGGTGTAATTGTTACGTTGCTGGACTCTCACATAGTCGACTGTGGTTTGAGTCCTGGACCTGGTGGCTCAAACTCAAGCCAGGCATGTGTGCGTGCGTGCAAAGATCCCGAGAGGAGAATGGAGGAGAAGGGATTACGACATGGCCGTTCCCTCGGGATGATTTCTCGCTTTCTCTCTGTCTGTCTCTGTCTTTACGGTGAGTACATGCACCCTATAGCAAAAACATCTTCAAAAAAAGGAAAGAAAGCTGGGACTCCTCTCTTGACAGAACCTAATGAATGAATTGAGACTTGATCTTTGGATTTTTTTAATTGAGAATTATTTTATTTAGCTTTTTTGGGGGAGAGATTTTTTTCTACAGAGCGCGTGCACTTGCCAGAAAGATAGAGACAGAGAGACAGAAGGCATGAAATCACTTCCTTCAAGGGGGATGGCCACACTGCAATCCCTTTTCCTCCGTTCTCCTGTTGGGCTCTTGGGTATGCACACACACACGCCCAGCATGAGTTTAAGCCACCAGGTCCGGGACTCGGACCGTGGTTAACTTACATGATAGTCCAGCGACATAGCCATTACACCAACTGCTGGTCCCTATTTAGCTTTATTTTTATTGTTATTATTTTCTAGTTTGATCAGAGAGAGAGGGAAAGTGAGAAAACAAACCACCAGGTATGGGACTCAAACTATGGTAGGCCATGTGGGAGTCCAGTGCCTTTAACCACCACGCCACCTGCCAGCCCTGAGACTTGGTCTTGAAGAGGCAAACACCCTGGTCAACTGTCCCCTCCTGGTGGTGCTAGAGTGGGGTTGAATGGGGAGCAAATTTCTGCCTAGGGGGCCCATGCCTTGCTCTGTTCTCTCACTGGTCAGCACGTCCTGCTAGGCCTGCGTTTCCAGGAGCTATCTTGGGACCACACTGCTCCAGAGGAGGAGGAACCCATCCTGTGGCTGGAGTTCGATGGGGACAGTGAGGGCACACCTGTCAACAAGCTGCTCAAGATTTACTCCAAGCAGGTAGAGGTGGACGTTACCTACACCGGGGTGGTGGGAGGCTGGACCCAATGCCCAAGGGGTCCTAGACTCCTGGAGGCTCTCGCTGGCTAGAAAGAGGTGAGAGCACGGCCAAGCGCCTGAGGACAATGGGTGCTTCCCCAGCAAGTCTGGGAGGCCTGGTCTGCAGATTCTGGGCCAGGTGGTGGCATCTGCAGTTGTAGCAACTGCTCCTTGTGGGCTTGCCAGATGCTGACCAGCCTGTGTCCTTTCCCTGTCCTTGAGGTTCCGTAAGGCTGGTGCTGTTGCTAACCCCCTCTCATGAAGGGAAGGCTCCTTAGTGTCATGCATTCAGCACGTTTCACTCCACATGCCTTCTACCCTGATCTCTCTTTTTTTAATGGTCGTGTGTGAGTGTACATGTGAGTGTATGCATGCACACGAGAGAAAGCACCCTCAGCAGGGTCTCTCCATGCCACAATCCCCTTTCCCTAGTACTCTTGTTCCTCAAGATCCTGGGTGCCCAAGAGTGTGCCTGGCAAGTTTTCAGGTCAACCCGGGGACTCATACCCATGGCTGACCATATGACTTCCAGCCTTGCAGACATTGCATTACCACTGTGCCATAGCAGCTGGGCCAGGGCCTCTTTTTGTAAGTACATAGAAAATATGTCCAATTCAAGTATATATAGCTGAACAAACTCTCCCAAAGTAAATAAACCTATGTAACACCTTACAGATTAAGAAATAGAGCACCTCCAGGAGACATCTGAGGCCCTTCCCTATCACTGCATCCCACTAATGACTCCACCATCCTCATGCCTACTACCCCAGAGTTATTTTGCCCATTTTTGAACTTCTAAAAAGTGAATTTTAGGGCCAGCTGGTGGTGTAGTGGTTATGTCACCATACTCCCACATGGCTTACCTGGTGACTTCAAACACACTGGGCACGTACCCAAAATCCTGGGAAGAGAATGAAGGAGAAGGGATTGCGGTGTGGCCATTCCCCCCGGGGTGTGATTTCTCACTTTCTCTGTCTCTCTGTCAAGTGCATGTATCCTATGGCAAAAACCTTAAAAAAAAAAAAAAAAAAAAGGATTTCTACAATATATATTTTTTTTTTTTTTTTACAGTAGGGAGAAGGTATTGCCTTCAGCTACTCAGGATGGTGCCTGGAGATACCTCTGTGGAGGAGAAGGGGGTAGGGATCCTCGCCCAGACCTTTTGGTTCCCCTGGCCCGTGGGTAGCCTGGGACAGGGTATGCCGGTCTCACATAATAGGCCTTCTCCCCCTCTCCTGTGTCTTCCTCCACGTGACTCCCAGCTGTCAGGGCCTGACCTGCTGGTAATGAGTGTCATGGTAGGCTTCTCAGCTCCCCCTCCATGGGGCGCCAGTGAAAGCTGGGGCTCCTGGGACCGGCAGATGGTGTAATTGTTACGTTGCTGGACTCTCACATAGTCGACTGTGGTTTGAGTCCTGGACCTGGTGGCTCAAACTCAAGCCAGGCATGTGTGCGTGCGTGCAAAGATCCCGAGAGGAGAATGGAGGAGAAGGGATTACGACATGGCCGTTCCCTCGGGATGATTTCTCGCTTTCTCTCTGTCTGTCTCTGTCTTTACGGTGAGTACATGCACCCTATAGCAAAAACATCTTCAAAAAAAGGAAAGAAAGCTGGGACTCCTCTCTTGACAGAACCTAATGAATGAATTGAGACTTGATCTTTGGATTTTTTTAATTGAGAATTATTTTATTTAGCTTTTTTGGGGGAGAGATTTTTTTCTACAGAGCGCGTGCACTTGCCAGAAAGATAGAGACAGACAGAGAGACAGAAGGCATGAAATCACTTCCTTCAAGGGGGATGGCCACACTGCAATCCCTTTTCCTCCGTTCTCCTGTTGGGCTCTTGGGTATGCACACACACACGCCCAGCATGAGTTTAAGCCACCAGGTCCGGGACTCGGACCGTGGTTAACTTACATGATAGTCCAGCGACATAGCCATTACACCAACTGCTGGTCCCTATTTAGCTTTATTTTTATTGTTATTATTTTCTAGTTTGATCAGAGAGAGAGGGAAAGTGAGAAAACAAACCACCAGGTATGGGACTCAAACTATGGTAGGCCATGTGGGAGTCCAGTGCCTTTAAACACCACGCCACCTGCCAGCCCTGAGACTTGGTCTTGAAGAGGCAAACACCCTGGTCAACTGTCCCCTCCTGGTGGTGCTAGAGTGGGGTTGAATGGGGAGCAAATTTCTGCCTAGGGGGCCCATGCCTTGCTCTGTTCTCTCACTGGTCAGCACGTCCTGCTAGGCCTGCGTTTCCAGGAGCTATCTTGGGACCACACTGCTCCAGAGGAGGAGGAACCCATCCTGTGGCTGGAGTTCGATGGGGACAGTGAGGGCACACCTGTCAACAAGCTGCTCAAGATTTACTCCAAGCAGGTAGAGGTGGACGTTACCTACACCGGGGTGGTGGGAGGCTGGACCCAATGCCCAAGGGGTCCTAGACTCCTGGAGGCTCTCGCTGGCTAGAAAGAGGTGAGAGCACGGCCAAGCGCCTGAGGACAATGGGTGCTTCCCCAGCAAGTCTGGGAGGCCTGGTCTGCAGATTCTGGGCCAGGTGGTGGCATCTGCAGTTGTAGCAACTGCTCCTTGTGGGCTTGCCAGATGCTGACCAGCCTGTGTCCTTTCCCTGTCCTTGAGGTTCCGTAAGGCTGGTGCTGTTGCTAACCCCCTCTCATGAAGGGAAGGCTCCTTAGTGTCATGCATTCAGCACGTTTCACTCCACATGCCTTCTACCCTGATCTCTCTTTTTTTAATGGTCGTGTGTGAGTGTACATGTGAGTGTATGCATGCACACGAGAGAAAGCACCCTCAGCAGGGTCTCTCCATGCCACAATCCCCTTTCCCTAGTACTCTTGTTCCTCAAGATCCTGGGTGCCCAAGAGTGTGCCTGGCAAGTTTTCAGGTCAACCCGGGGACTCATACCCATGGCTGACCATATGACTTCCAGCCTTGCAGACATTGCATTACCACTGTGCCATAGCAGCTGGGCCAGGGCCTCTTTTTGTAAGTACATAGAAAATATGTCCAATTCAAGTATATATAGCTGAACAAACTCTCCCAAAGTAAATAAACCTATGTAACACCTTACAGATTAAGAAATAGAGCACCTCCAGGAGACATCTGAGGCCCTTCCCTATCACTGCATCCCACTAATGACTCCACCATCCTCATGCCTACTACCCCAGAGTTATTTTGCCCATTTTTGAACTTCTAAAAAGTGAATTTTAGGGCCAGCTGGTGGTGTAGTGGTTATGTCACCATACTCCCACATGGCTTACCTGGTGACTTCAAACACACTGGGCACGTACCCAAAATCCTGGGAAGAGAATGAAGGAGAAGGGATTGCGGTGTGGCCATTCCCCCCGGGGTGTGATTTCTCACTTTCTCTGTCTCTCTGTCAAGTGCATGTATCCTATGGCAAAAACCTTAAAAAAAAATTCTACAGTATATACTGTTTTTCTGTCTTTTTTTTAAGCTCTGTGTCATATGCATGAGATTCATCCTGTCACAAGTGGCAGTGGTCTAGGACCAGCAGATGGCATAATGGTTGTGTTTCTGGACTCCCACATGGCCGACCGCAGTTTACGTCCCAGACCCAGAGGCTTGAAACTCAAGCCAGGCACACTGGTGTGGCCATCCCCCCAGAGAGTGTTTTCTCACTTCCTGTCTCTCTGGCAAGCATACCCTGTAGCAAAAATCTCTCAAAACAGAGACAAAAACAAAACGAGTGGCAGTGGTCTATTCTTTTGTGTTGCTGTATGAATTTGCCAGTGGTTATTTTTTAAGTTTTTTTCCTCGTATGATAGAAAGTGCATGCGCATGCAAGAGACAAGAGCACCCGTGATGAGGTCTTGTCCACTGCGATCTCCTTTCCCTAGCCCGCCAGTTTGTCAGGATCTTGGACACACCTGTACCCAGGCACATTTTCAGGCCCACAAGCCACGACAGACAGCACGTGGCCTCCAGCACCACTGTGCCACCAGGCTGGGCCTGTCGCATGTATCTATAGATGAGCGCACACCTAGGGGTGGAGTTGCTGGGCGTGAGGTAGGCTCATGTTCGGCTTTCGTAGATCCCGCCAATTTTCCAAAGCATTCGGACAGCTTACACTCGTCGGTGGTAGAGGAGAGTGCTTGTTGCTCCATATCTTCTGTTTTCCCCAGAAAAATTTAACAGGTTTATTTATAATCGTTATAAAGTTGAACTGCTGAAACTTGTTCATTGAAACATTTTGACTTGCATTGATGCTTTACATCCCTGCATTTATATTAAAAATCTACACACAAATGAAAGTGGAAAAACTGCCAGTACCCAATTTCTGTCCCGTTTTCCACCTCGCGATCATATGCTTAGGTACCTTTTGACCCCATGGGGGAAAAAAAATCTACAATTCAGAACTACCAATAATAGAAGGAAGAGAAAAAAAATTTTTTTTTTTAACAATGAAATTATGGTGGATTCTTAAGCACGTTCTCCACGTATGCTGCATGCTAGCTGCATGTCTTTTGGCATAATTGTTACACGTTTGGCATGGATAGCACACAGGTTGGTATCTTCAAAAAGGCCCACCAAATAGGCCTCCTGCAAAGCACCAATAGCTGTGCTCTGGAAGCACAGATCTGTTTTGAAATCCTGAGCAACTTCTCGCACCAGACTCTGGAAAGGAAGTTTGCAAATCAAATTCAGTGGACTTTTGATAACATCTAATTTCACGGAGTGCCACAGTACCCGGCCTGTCACCATGACGTGTCTTCACCCCTCCAGTAGAGGGCACACTCTTGCAAGCGGCTTCTGTAGCCAGATGCTTCCTGGGTGCTTTACCACCAGTGGATTTGTGGGATGTCTGCTTTGTAGAGCCATGGTATAGAGACCTAATCACTTACACCCCTTCTGCAGCTGGAGCTCAGTAAGCTAGAAGCTGCTCCATCACATTTAGTATTGTCGATCTTTTTGTTTTTAATTGAACTTTATTTATTTATTTATTTTTAAATTTTTAAAAATTTGACTAGTGAGGGACAGAGTGAAAGAAAGAGAGAAGAGAACTGAGAAAGCAAGCCACCAGGTCCAGGACTCGAACCATAGTCAATCATGTGGGAGTCCAGCACCCTTAATCACCATGCCATCTGTTGGCTCCATTGTCGATCTTAGTCATTATGTTCAATGAATAATGTTGTCTCCTTATGTTTTATCATATATGTTTAAGAATTATTTAATTTATTTTTTAATTTGCTATAGGGCACACGTGCTCACTAGAGAGAGATGGAGAGAGAGGGAGAAAGCAAGCCACCAGGTCCAGGACTCGAACCACAGTCAGCTATGTGGGAGTTCAGCGCTTTAACCACCATGCCGCCTGCTAGCCAGCTTTTATTTCTAAATCAACTCTATCAAGATACTTTTTTTTTTTTTGAGAGAGAGAGATTTTCGCTATGGGGTGTGTGCACTCACCAGCGAGACAGAGACAGAGAGAGATAGAAAGTGAGAAATCACTCCCCCTGAGGAGATGACCACACCATACTCCCTTCCCTTTCATTCTCCTCTTGGGATTTTGAGTACACACATACACACACTTGGTCTGAGTTTCAAGCCTCTGGTTCCAGGACTTGGACTGCAAGTCATGTGGGAGTCCAGCACCTTAACCACTATACCACCTGCTGGCCCTTATTGAGATATAGTTTACAATAAAATGCATTTTTTTTTTTTAAGTTTGCTATAGGGTCTGCGTGCTCACCATAGAGAGACAGAGGGAGAAAGTGAGGAAGTCACCTGCTGGAGAAGATAGCCATGCCATAATCTCTTCTCCATTCTCCTTTTGGGATTTTAGACACGCACTCATACGTGCCTGGCATTTTCCCCAGTGCAGGGTCCAGGACTTGAACTACACAGTTGGCCATGTGGGATCCAGCCACTTAAACTACCAGGCCACAGGCTGGCCCTTGCCTGTTTTTTTATTAACATGATTTCCATTACCTCAACATCTCCTTAGAGTTTTAATTTGGATTTTCCTCCTGACTAATGAAATTGGACACCGTTTTACATATTTATTCACCATTTGGACAGCCCCTTTGAGAAATGAACTCTTCAAGTCTTTTGTCAGTTTTTCATTTGTCTTTTTTAAAAATGTTGTATGTTTCTTTTCTGACTTTAGACCTGTTTTTGACACTTTCCCTTAGCTATCCCTGGAGTTTTGCTTTATCCCAGACTGTCTTATAAATACATTTGTCACACAGCTCCTTACATATTTTACCCAAGAGAAGATGTAGGCCCCACGTCTGCTTCCCCCCTCACCACCACCAGAGGGCAGGACGCCCTGGGTCTGATGCACTTCACTTGGCAGCAGGTGTGGAAAGGCTGGGCCTGGGCGGGGGTCCCCCTGCACCTCACTTGGGCCCTTCTCCCCCACAGGCTGAACTGATGAGTAGCCTCATCGAGTACTGCATCGAGCTGAACCAGGCTGCCGAGCCCGCTGTCCCCCAGGAAGGTGTCTCTGGGCCCGGCTCCTCACCTCCTCCCACTCAGCGCCCCGTGCTGCGGAGGCAAGGCAGCGTGGTGTGCAGCCGAATCCAGCATCTCTCCACCATCGACTACGTGGAAGACGGTAAGCCACCCCCCGTGTGTGAGTGCGCACACACGGGCACGCCCCAGGGAGCTCCCAAGGGCAGGGAGTTGCAGATCCAGCCCCTGGGTGGGTTGACCTCCACCTGGCAGGGGCTGACTGAGAAGAGCCTGGGCCTTGGCTACACAAGCCTCTTCTGTCCCTTCTCACTGCACATTGTCCAGGAGGTGGAAAACTGGAAACTCCCCAGTGTCTGCTCTTGAAGGTGTGGGTTGATTTACAGCGGGGCCACATCCTGTGGAAGTCAGCGCGTCTGGTAAAAATGTGTACCCTAAGTGCCAGGTATCCTGGGTCAGGTCCTAGACAGAAGACACTGGAAAATGTCACTAAAGAAAACTGAGTGAAGTCCGAGAGTCTGTATAATTTAGTTAGTAATACTGTACCAGTGCTCATTTTTTAGGTTTTTATTCTTTTCTTCTAAGTTCATTTCTTGAGTCAGAGAGAGAAGCCTCCCCATCAGGGTCTTGGCACTGCTATCACCTAGCATCTGCCAGCCTAGGTCAAGGGCACATGCCTGGGATATTCAAGGAGGTCTCCAGACACAAATCAGCAACTTCCCACCTAGAATTGCTTCACACAGTGTCTTTTCTTTTCTTTCTTTTTTTCTTTTTAGAGGTTTTTGCCATAAGGCACATATGCTCCATGGAGAGAGACAGAGACAGTGAGAGGGAAAGTGAAAAACCATCCCCCTCGGGGGATAACTGCAATCCCTTCTCCATTCTCCTCCTCGGCTTTTGCATGCCTACCAGATCTGGGACTCCAGCTGTAGTTGGGCATGTGAGTGCAGCAATGTAACCACTGTGCCACCTGCTAGCCCTCAGAGTGTCGCATTGTACCGTTGCATCACTGCTCCATTTCTTAGCTTTTTTTTTTTTTAAATAATTGCTTTTATTTAATTTTATTGATTCACTCATTTATTTTAATTTGACCAGAGACAGATAGAAAGAAAATGGGAAAGCAAGCCACCAGATCTGGGACTCAAACCATGGTCGGCCATGTGGGAGTGTCCAGCGCCTTAACCATCACACCACCTGCTGGTCCCACCTGAACTTTTTTTTTTTTTTCCAGAGATTTTTTTTGTGGGGACCAGCAATTAGTGTAATGGCTATGTCGCTGGACTCCCACATAGTTGACCGCGGTTCGCATCTGAACCCGGTGGCTTAAAACTCGCTCCAGGTGTATGTGCGTGCGTGCCCAAGATCCTGAGAGGAGAACGGAGGAGAAGGGATTGCAGCGTGACCATCCCCCCTGGGGGGTGATTTCTCGCTTTCTGTCTCTCTGTCTCTGTCTGGCGAGTGCACGCGCCCTATAACAAAAACCTCTCCAAAAAAAAAAAAAAATTTTTTTTTTTGCTATAGGGTGTGTGTTCTCACTGGAAGGACAGAAAATCACCCTTGGGGGGTGGCCATGTACAGTCCCTTTACTCTCTCGGGATTTGGGGCATGCATGCACACTTACCCAGTGTGAGTTTCAGGGTGCCAGGTCTGGGACTAATCCACAGTCAGCCATGTGGGAGTCCAACTACGTAACCACTATGCCATCTGCTGGTCCCGGCTTTTAATAATTCTCTTTCTCTCTTTCTCACTTGTGAAATGTGAAATTAATTAATTAATTAAAATAAAATAAAGAATTCTTTATAAAAAGAGAATGATTTATTTGGGGCCAGCAGATGGCGCAGCAGTTACATTGCTGGACTCCCACATGGCCTACTACAGTATTCAAGTCCTAGACCTGGCAGCTTGAGTATCACGCTGGGAATGGCCAAACTGTAATCCCTTCTCTTCCTTTTCCTCTGGGATTTTAGGCACACACGCACATGCACATGCACCAGTGTGATTTTCAGGCCACCAGATATAAGACTCGAACCATGGTTGGCCATGTGGGAATCTAGTTCCTTAACCACAGTGCCACCTGCTGGCCCCCATTTCTTAGCTTTGACATAGTAATAGGAGATGTTAACATTAGGAGAACCTGTCCATGTGTGTAAGGAGGGAGAGACCCCTATCTATGATGATCAATCACCATAACCTTGGGGCTGGCAAGTGGTGTGGTGGTTAAGGCGCTGGACTCCCACATGGCCAACCATGGTTCAAGTCCTGGACCTGGAGGCTAGCTTTCTCACTACCTCCTCCCAGTCAAATTTAAAAAATAATAATAATAAGTAAAATTAAATAAGTAATTTTTAAAAATCACTGTAACCTTTACTTTTTCCTTTGTACGTTGTTGCATTTAAATATTTACCAATGAGCATGTAATTTGCATAAATTTTCATAGTTAAAAAACTTGTTTTAATTTTTTTATGTAGTGTCTGTGAATGAGAGAGAGAAACACCACCCCCAGTGGGGTCCTCACACTGCAGCCCACTACCTCAGCCAGCCCCAGGTAATAGGCACTTGGGTGCTCAGCATACGTAAGGAGGTCCCCAGACACTAACCTGCCCATTTGGGACTCCCTTATAGAACATCACATTTTACTATTGTGCCACCATCCAGCCCTAAATTTTTATTTTTTATTTATTTATTTTTTTAGAGAGAGAGATTTTTTGCTATAGGGTGTGTGTGCTCACCAGAGAGACAGAGAAAGCAAGAAATCACCCCCCAAAGGGGGATGCCATGCCATGGTCCCTTCCCCTCCATTCTCCTCTTGGGATTTTGGACATTCACACACATGCACCCAGTGTGTTTCAAGCCATGACTTGAAACCATGGATTTGAACTAATCAAAAAAACAAGTATTGGCAGGGCTAGCAGGTGGCATAGGGGTTATGCCAGTGGACTCCCACGTGGCCAACCATGGTTCGAGTCCTGGACCTGGCAGCTTGTAAATCACACCGGGCACACGTGCATATATGCCCAAAATCCTGAGAGGAAAATGGGGAAGGGATTGCAATGTGGCCACCCCTCCTCGGGGGTTATTTCTCACTTTATCTCTTTCTGGTGAGTATGCTTGCTGTATGGCAAAAAAAAAAAAAAAAAAAGGTGAGCATTTTTTTTTTCAGTTTGCCAGAGGGCATGTGCACTCATCAGAGAGAGTGAGAAAGATGAGAAGTGAGAAAGCACCCTCCATGGGGTATAATCATTTTGAAATTCCTTCTCCACTTCTGCCTCTTTGGGATTTTGGGGCATGCACACACATGCACCTGTAGGCCACGTGGGGTCCTGCCACCCTAACTGCCGGGCTACAGGCTGGCCCCAAAGCAGAGTTTTCTGTAAATGCTGTTTACCATGGCTGGGTCGTTCCTCGACTTGGTGGTAGCACAGTCGTTTTCACTGTTCCCTATTTTGGACAGTAGAGTTATTTCTAGTTTTCAGCTATTGTATTATAAACAGCTAACTGGCCTGGCCTCGTAAGGAATTTGGGTCCCACATGGCTAACTGCAAGGTTTAAATCCCAGCCCAGCAACTTGAAAAGCATGCCAGCTCAAGATTCTGACAAGATGGGGAGATGGAGGAGCAGGGATTGTGGCGTAACCACACCCCATTGGGGGGAGTGCTTCCCCCTTTCAGTTCTAGCCAGCACATACACCCTCTGACAGTTTTTTAGAAAAGAAAAAGATGCCAGCAAGTAACATGGTAGTTACGGCCCTGGATTCTCACATGGCAAACCACTGTTCGAGTCCCAGACTTGGAGGTTTGAAAATCATACCAGGCTTGTGTGCTTGTGCACCCAGAATCTCAGGGGGAACATGGAGTAGAAGGGATTGCAGTGTAGCCATCCCCCATGGGTAGGTGATACCTTACTTTCCTTGTCTCTGTCTCTGGCAAGCGCACATGCTCTGCCCTATTCAGAAACTTAAAAATAAACAAACAAACAAAAACCCACAGACCTGTAGTTAAATCCTTATTTGGAATCTGAACTGTTTCCTTAAGATAAATTCCTAAAATGAACTTGCTGGGTTTAAGAGTATGCACAGCTGCCTTCCAAAGAGGTTGTGCCCACTTGTTCTCTGAACAGAGCAGCTCCATCAGCCTTCTGCACCCTCATCCACAATGGGTCTCACTGTTCTCAGACAGAGAGAGAATTTTTTCCGAGAGATTTTTGCTATAGGGTGCGTGCGCGCGCCAGAAAGACAGAGAAACAGTGAGAAAGAAAGCAGGAAATCACCCTCCATGGTGGATGGCCACGCTGCAATCCCTTCTCCTCTATTCTCCTCTCAGGTTCGTGGACATGCACGCACATGCGCCCGGTGTGAATTTAAGTCACTGGGTTCAGGACTTGAACCGCGGTCGACTACATGGAAGTCCAGTGACATAGCCATTACGCCAGCTGCTGGCCCCCAATTTTTTTTTTAAATGTTTTTGCCACAGGGCATATTCACTTACCAGAGTCAATGAGAGAGAACGTGAGAAATCAGTCCCCAGGGGTGATGGCCACACTGCAGTCTTTTTTCACAAGTCTGGCATGATTTTACAGCTGCGGGGTCTGTGACTTGAACTATGGTTGGCTATATGGGAGCCCAACACCATAACCACCATGCTAACTGCTGGTCACCTTGGCTTGATTTTTCTTTTTTAATTTATTTATTTTACATTCTTTCACTGAACGTCATCACAGCATACAAAATGTGATTTCCCACCCAGAATACACTGTAAAGTGGCTTACTCATACATGTTATCATCAACAAGTAAATTTCCATTTCCTGTTTTTTTTTTTTTTTGAGAGGTTTTTGCTATAGGGCACGTGAGCTCGCCAGAAAGGCGGAGAGAGACAGAGAGACAGAAAGCGAGAAATCACCCCCCAGGGGGGATGGCCATGCTGCAATCCCTTCTCCTTCATTCTCCTCTCGGAAGAGGAGAATGCGCCCAGCGTGAGTTTAAGCCACCGGGTCCGGGGCATGAACCACAGTCGACTACATGGGAGTCCAGCAACATAGCCATTAAGCTAACTGCTGGTCCCATTTCCTGTTTTTTTTTTTAAAGATATATATATCTTTTTTTTCTTCCCCTATTTCTTATCCTCTGCCATCTCCCACCCTCCTCCCATACTGTCTCTGGTATCTACAGTTGCTTTCCATTCCTCTTTTCCCCCCACATTTTATTGAAAAATATGGAATGCTTCACAAATCTGCGTGTCGTCCTTGCCAGGGGCCATGCTAATCTTCTCTGTATTGTCCCCGTTTTAGTATGTGTGCTGCCGAAGCGAGCACTTGGCTTGATATTTCTAACCCATGAGGATTCTTTTATCTTATTGAGGTTCACTTTTAATCAGTTGTGTATGTTGCAGATATTTTATTTCTTTGGTCTGTTTTGAACAGCGTTAGCAAAAGCCCCTTAGCACAGCTGGCCCAGCGTCAGACACAAACCCATGCTAGGGTTTGTGAGGCAGCCACTTGCCCCATCCTTCCTGTCCCTGGGGCAGAGCTGGGGGCAGGTGTTGAAGCTCAGACAGCAGGTTTGAAGGAGGAGCTGAGTCAGACAGGGCCCGGAAGTAGCCATCCCGCTGCAGCCAGACCCGCTCTCTGGGGCTTGGATCTCTCACTGGAGAGAGCTGCCTCCTCAGTGTTGTTCTTGTTCTCTTCCAGGCCAGGGCATCAAGCGGGTGAAACCGAAGCGCACCACGTCTTTCTTCAGCAGGCAGCTCTCGCTGGGCCAGGGGAGCTACACAGTGGTGCAGCCCACTGACAACCTGGAGCAGGGCTGAGGGCGGCCCCCAACCAGGCCCAGCCCTGTCTTCCCTCAGAGTCCAAGGCCAGGCTGCCTTAGTCTTGGGGAGGAGGGCTGCCTCAGGAAATACTTTCAGACCATGGAGAAGTGACTTCTGTGCCTGAGACGATGCCCGGGCCATGCAGAGCTGGCTGCGGGGCCTCCTGCAGGATCCCTCTTACAACCTACTCTCTCTTCTCCTGGACCCTGGGCCCAGCTACTCTCTCAGGACCAGGAGATCAGGCCCCGGCTCTCCTCCCACCCAAAGATACACCTGCAGGCCCCTTTCAAGAGTATCCCATGCTCTGAAGTGACCAGTGGCAGCTCTGATGGCAGGGGACTGAGGAGTAGAGCTTGGGGCTGCAAGTCCAGTGTGTGGCCCTTCCTCCCTGGACCTTGGTGACCACATCCCCCCATTCCCTCTGCTGGCATTCCACCTGCATGGCACTCTAAGGAGGGCCGGAGAGGGCCTCCCTGGATTGAAACGGATGGTGAGAGCCCCCCCGCCACACCTCCCTGGATGAATTAGGACTGGAGGGAGCAGGGCAGGGTTGGATCAGAGGATTCCGCTCAGGTCTCCCTTCTGGGCAGGAGGCACTGACCAGAAGGAATGGACCCTTTTGTTAGCCTTCGGTAAAGTCACTATGCTGGGGAGTGACTGTCCTTTGGACCGCCAGGCCCACCAGACCCACCCTCCACATCTGGGGAAGGCTTCCCAAAACCCCCTTGGTGTTGCCCTCATAGAAACCCCAGTGTTCTGGGGCCTCAGGTTTTCCTTTCAGTCCCTTTTCATCTGTTTTGGTTCCCTGAGGCCTGTGAACTGCAGGACAACTCAAGGACACGTCCTCACTAACCTCAGAGCTGTTGGCTTTCCTCCAGAGACAGCGCCGTGGGTGTCCCTGGGGCCAGCCCACACCCAGGACCACCCCAGCGACACAAGACAATCTCTTCTTTCTGGGGGTACCGGAAAGGCGGTTTTGGAATGAGTGCTTGGCTTTGGGCTTCCCCGCCTTTCCTGTGTCTTTTCCCACGGAGCTGGGCCCCTAAGAAGTGGGTGTTCCCAGCCCTGAGGCTCCTCCTGGTGGGTGGAGGTCCTCACAGTGGCTTCGGGGACTTCCCACAGGAAGGAGGCAGTCCCATCAGCACAAGCTATTGTTCTGTGTTCCCTTCCAAAGGAAAACCGGGGGAGAGGAAGCTAGCCTCTTCTGCCCCAGCGCTCCCTCCCTGTGCCAGCTGGTGAGCACTCCAGGCAGTTCAGGGTGGGCCTGCCTCCTGGTGACAGGGACCTTGTTACTTGTTAGTACGCAGGGGGAGAAAGGCCCGAGAGGTGTCCCCAGCCAGCCTTTTGAACTGTCAGGGCTGCAGGGAGGTGTCCATTGCCACATCTTCCCTCCCTGGAGTCAACTGACCTCAGCCTTCCAGCCTGCTGGCTCCAGCCATCTGGTTACCTGTCTCACTGTTTTGATTGCAGGTCAGTTCTCACTGATGGGTGGACCAGACAGCATGTGTGACGTGGGTGGCGTGCGTGTATTTGTGTGCGCTCAGATGACACGTTTGTACTCTTCAGCCTCTTTCTCATAGCTCTTAACCATCCATTGTGCCTTAACCTTTTCTGCCTGCCCTTTGGGACAAAGCAGTGTTTTACTAAATGCCCTTTGAATGTTCTCATTCTTTTGTACCATGTGACTTATTAATAATAAAATCTGTTTCTAGCAGACTTTGGAATGGTTTATGCTGTGAAATAACACGGGTCGTGTTATTAAACTTGCAGCCAGGTATACGCCCTCGGGGCTGGCCTAGCCGAACACTAAGGGAGAACCTGGAGGGAAGTTGGGTTTTCTTAAACTTCTTTTTTTTTAAAGAATTATTTATTTATTGGGACCAGCAGTTAGCGTAATGGCTATGTCGCTGGACTCCCATGTAGCTGACCGCAGTTTGAGTCCCGGACCTGGTGGCTTAAACTCACATGGGGCGCGCGTGTGTGTGCGCCCAAGATCTCAAGAGGAGAATGGAGGAGAAGGGATTGTGCCATGGCCATCCCCCATGGAGGGTGACTTCTCACTTTCTGTCTCTCTCTGTCTCTCTCTCTGTCTTTCTGGTGAGCACATGTGCCCTATAGCAAAAACCTCTCCCCCCCCAAAAAAAAAAATTGAGTTATTTATTTATTTAATTTCATTTGTTGTTGTTATTTTTTAATTTGACCAAAGAGATGGGGGGAAAGCACAAAAGCAAACCACCAGGTCCGGGACTCAAACCATGGTCAGCCATGTGGAAATCCAGTGTCTTTAACCACTATACCACCTGCCAGCTCCGGAGTGAAGTTTTCTCATCTTGGGGGTTTGTCAGGGACTCCCAGGCCATGGTGGTCCGGGAGGGTCTTTAGGGTTCATACGGGAACCAAAGGAGTAGCTCCATGGGGAGAGGGGGGAACAAGCCCACGATGGGCTTGTCCTGTGAGCCTGTCACATCACTACCTGTTAGAGCACCTGCTGCCAGATTGGGTGTGCTTTCCAGGTGCCCTCACACCCGGGGTGGGGACGTAGTCCTTGAATGGATGTCAGTGCCCCAGAGGGGCCAGGAGGCTTGGGCAGGGAAGCAGTTTGTTCTTAGATCCCCTTGTCTGCACCTAATTTGAGGATGGGACAGCACCGGGCCACCCTTGAGCACTATGACTCCAGTCATTGGGGGTTAGAGCTCATGCTGGCGAGATGAAGGAGCAGCTGCGTGCCCCTGCAGCAGTGAGGACCTGGAGTGTCCTGACCTCGTTCCCTGTAATATTCTCTGCCTGGCCAGGGTCAGTGCAGGGCTGCAACCAGGGCACTCGAGCTCCTGACCTTTGCTGGGAATCATGATGGACCCATCTCACAGGTTGCTGGTGTAGACGAGGCACTCGGTAGGTAGCCTTAGCTCTTTCATCATCTTCAAGTATGCTGTGTCTTCAGAGAGGTCTTAGAGAATGTGTATTATGAAAAAATGGATTTCGGGACCAGCAGGTGGCATGGTGGTTAAGGCGCTGGACACTCCCAACATGGCCGACCAGAGTTTGAGTCCTGAATCTGGTGGCTTGCTTTCTCACTTCCTTTCTCTCTCACTCTCACCCTCTGTCTCTCTCTGGTCAAATTAAGAAATAAATGGCTGAATAAATTTTAAAATTAAATAATTAAAGAACAAAACTGGATTTTGGGGCCAGCAAGTGGCATGATGGTTAAGAAAGCTGGAGTCCCACATGGCCAACCATGGTTTGAGTCCTGGACCCGGCAGTTTGCTTTCTTGTGAAAGCAAGAGAGAGAGAGAGTGAAATTAATTATTTATTTTAAAAACTGGATTTCTGTGGAGCTGTTTTTTTTTTTTTTTTTTTAGGTTTTTTCCAAAGGCTATGTGTTTTCACAAGGGAGG